TAATTACACCATGGAAAGCTGAACTAGGGCGAAGGTGTCCCAGTAGCGTAACATGTAAGCGCTTGCTCGGTAAGCAAGAAACGGGTTCGAGCCCAGCCTCGGACGAGGTTCGGTTCATAATCCACTGTTCTTGTGAAGTACTGAGGCCGGATGTCAGATACTTTGGAATCGGAGCGATTCGCTAGCACCGCGTCGCGTCCTCATACATAACTGGCTCGATCCTTGCAGCGGCGACCCACGCGACCGCAGATTGCAGAATCGCGTCGATCTCGCAAAGTCCTGGCCCATCGGGCCGTTTGACAGGGAATATTGTCATGCTGTTTGCACGACTTGAAAACGACTTGGGAATGAGAGTGACCAATCATCTAAAAAGCGTAGGACCCAATTTATCATTAAATAAAACAACAATTATGATAGTCTATGTAATGGTACATACTTCATCGCGAATCCGTACAGAAGACCGACTAGATGATCCACGATCACCTCTCGCATACATATCAGAGCTTATACCACTAGACTGCGTCGGAACAGAAGGTGCATTCACTAACAGTACGTAGCAGGATATCTCGGGTGCCCAAAGGTCAATCTGGGAAATGACAAAATCGTTTCATATCTACTAAAATAAAGTTAATGCGATGGGGAGGAGCGAGAACGATAGCTCATCCTCTAGTCTGCGCCAGGTCTCATATTCGACTCGGCAGGTCGATCTTCATGTGTGCCAAACTGTTGAGCCTTGTCACACATTTAACAACTCTGAGATGTTCAAAGTGGGATATAAGGAAAAATCAACGGATCTCAAGTGGCGAACAGAGAAAAAAACCTACAGATCTTTGCAGCTTTTTGCCAAAAGAATCCCTTTGCAATATGGTACAGCATAATTAGTAGGAGCATTGCACAGCACTGGAATTTCGAGTAGTAAAATCCTTTAGACCGCTTTTAAACACTCGTAGGCGCTATCATGACTCGTCATTCCTGCGATAAACCGGCAAGTAACCCCCGGCGCCGGCGACGCACGCCTCACACCAACATGGACGCCGCGTGAGCAGCACGGGCTCAAAAGTTCTCATCTGTTCTGCTTTTTGAGAGAATTGCTACAAAAACCCGGTCTCATCATACATATAACACTTTTTGATGATAATGTAGTCGCGTCGATCGTGCACAGCAGGCGTTTTGATCGTTGGACCCGATCGGACGATCGATACATATCCGGTGCGTGTGTGCAATTTGATCGACTATAGTTTTGCCCTGAGTTAACATTTCGACCGTTCTCCGATAACTACGCGGCTGACTTGAAGGGGGGGGGGAGAGTCGCCCGGCGCAAAATCTCTGATACCTGCGCCCTCTCACCGAAACATTGATGACATCAGTGCAAAACTAGTAGTATGTTTGTCATTAAAATGTGGCCAAGGGGACTGAAAGGGGTATAGGGTTTAAGAAAGGGCCGCGGGCCATTTGACTGAGCTACTAGATCCATCACACTTTGAGCCTTCCTTCATTAACGGTTTAATCATTGATTGGTTGACTGTCAATGGTCATCAACCCCATGAGATCAAGCAGCAGATCGTCAGCGATGAAACTCGAGACAACTACCTTCTGCATTGTTGCTTTGTGTTGATATTTACTTTTGGCTCTGACTCTGAGCAATCGCAGTGATTCGAAAGTCTATATCGGAGATGAGGCAGAGTTAGTGCTTGTTACACAACTCGAAAGAGCTATGTTTACCGTTGTGTGTTGCAATAGAGTTGTATAACATGGCATAACGAATACTACGAGTTAAAGGATATAAAGGATAAAGCATTTGCCGTTGATCAATCCCTTTTTGGGATGCGGCACGCATTCTACTTCCATTTGTACATTCGTAGTGGCGTTTGAATGCGATGTGGCCTATACAATGACTTGCGGGGGCCAGCCGATGTACAAGTCAGTGTTTTTATCCTCCCAGACAAGTCTGGTACCAATTAACCGACCCCGGAGGGATGGAAGGCTTGGTTGGCCCGGGCGACTCACGACCCAGGATTTGATCCCCGGACCGCTCGCGTGGTAAGCGTGCCACTTGCCACTACACCACTTCCGCCCTCTATGTATATGAAGGAAAAAGAAAGAATTCCAGTGATCCAGTGAAAAAGCAGGTCTACGACCTACTTACTTGAGCTCGTTCCTTCGGAAAGCGTGAGCCGCCCTTCTCTACCTTGATAGCGGTTCATGACCACTAAAACTTCTTCCGCTCAGGCGAAAAGTGGCTCACGCAACCTCACCCCATACACTGCCTTCATCTACCCCAACTCGGTTTACGTATCTCCCGTTTGGCACCTTTAGATCCGGCAAGCGCCGTCCTCTAATTGTCTGCGCTCTAGTCTTTTTGACAGAGAACACTTTTGACAGAAAAGTTCAAGCAGGCACGTAAACGTGAAGGCATGACCCACTATTGAGTCATTCTGTCGTCAGTGTGTTGAAACACGTGGGAGAAACCTTCACAATTCCGTTGCGGGGATTGATTTGCAGGGTCGGAATTCGCAATTTGATTCGCAAATTCTAGATCTGCGTTCCACGCACACCTCATGGTACAGGTCTCATCAAATATGACTATTTCTACCTGAGATTCGTCCCTTGTAACTCTGCAATAACTACGCACCCGGCTACAAGAAATAAAGTCCGTGGACCGCAACAAAGTCGGCAAACTATAAACGCTAGAACAGGACTTGACATGCGCATTTAAGCCTGCTTGTTTTAGTTAGGTTAACCACAAGAAAGATAAAAGAGTGGGATCTATTTCCACAACACTCAAAATCGCTAAACATAAGCGAGGACTGGTACCGATATCTTAAAAATTCATATCTTACATGCCAGGAAAGATGATTTCCACTGTTTCTCTGAGCAGAATAAATTATAATAAGATAAACTAACTAAGAAAGGTGACAGATTAGAAAGGTGATTTGAGCAATAAGCAGCAGGTGTGTTAAACAGTGTGAGAATACTGTAAGTCCTTGAAAAAATGATTAAAAAGGCTACAGGGCAATCAACTAAAATACGTTCAAAAACGATTGAAAACCTCAAAAAGCCTTCCGATGCTAACTGTGCAATAGTTGGAATAATTTGGAAAAAGAACGGTCATTAAATACCTGAAAATGGACAGGAAAAGGGAGATATTAGATAAAAAGATAATAAATGTTAAATTATGAATAAAAAGACCAACGAGATGAAATTGAAGTAAAAAATCACAGTTCCAAACGTACAGCTTGGGTCAGAAAAAAAACAAGTGAAAGGTGGTTAGGACGCCAAAGAGGGAAATTCAAAATTTGTATCAAAAAAATGCACATACATATATGAATTTTAGTGTTTAGTTTTTTTTTTATATTCATATTTATATATTGATATTTAGCATCCAGATTGCTTAGAAAAAATAGTGAAAGGGAAGTATGAAACAGGTCCTATTTGAAAAGTGAATAAATAGATAAAAGAAAAAAGTGGAGCAGGATGACAGTCGTTTGGTTTACTTTTCATAGTATTGCTTAATATTCCGCTAAAATTCTAGGAAAAAGCAGTTACACACTAATACACGACCAGGATGCAAATCGTTGTCTGAGCAAGGAATTTTCGCTATTTACAGTTTATATGCAAACTTATGTATTTATAAGCTACAGTGTGGAAAGCAAAGCAAAAGATGATTGATGTTGCACGAGAATACAATATGCTTAATATTAATCTTTACTGCTTAGCTTTATACTGGAACAAATGCGCAAGTCTCATATACCGAACATGAGGGTGCTTTCATAGTCGGTCGTCGATCGCAGCGTCGCACGCATTGATATGCATCGAATCGTCCGATTTGTTACAACTCAGAACATTGCAACATTGCGTCAGCGCATCGATAGTATCTAGGTTTGATACACCGTTACGATGGGCGATACGACTGTGAAAGCACTTCCGTAGCGAAGGCTAGCGGCACTACACACAATAATAAGTTGAGCGAACCAGCCTAGAGAATAATTGTATAGTCAAAAGCCAAAAGGAACAGTAACTATGCTCGCCTTAAATAAAATATGAGAGTTCATTCATCCAGTAAGGGAGGGGCGAGCACGTTGGCGACGTTTTGCGAGTACTGTGGGAATTAGATTTTTCCAGGGAGGGAATCCAGGGCATTAAGCTCGAGCTTTCACACCGCTTCCCTCCCCTGAGAAAAAATTTTGGATTTACTTTTTAAGGCTATTGAATCTTGACCAATGGCACCCCCTGCTAGGTGGATGAGCCACGGAAAAAGGCGGAATGGTCAGGACAACGGAAGTCACGTTACAATGATATAAAAGCCGGCACACCTGACGGAGCCTGAACCGTCATTGGGTAGTTTCGCGATTTAAAGGCTCCAGAGTTCGTTGTGAAATTAAAACATTAGGCACAACGCAAGTAGAAATCAGCATTCGAGAAAAGTTCAAAAGTTTGTTTCGAACGCGGCGATTTTCGGTTCTTAACTTCTCCATCTGGTCCAAAATAATTTAAGTTGCTTAGTTAATCAATATTTGGGGAATACAGCTAACTCAATCTGCTTCGCACGTATTATGATATGTTGAGTTAATCATTCTTAAAAGTCAAACAGCCAATCAATTAAAATTAGGATCAGGAAAAGGTTACGAACATTGGAAAAAAATAGCCACGAGCAAAACAAAACACTTTTGGGTTTACTGCAGAGTCCTTTTCTGTTTTGTATTGCAACAAACTTCCGGAGCCTCACAGATCAACAAAAGGGCTCGGGACAGCACAACGCAAGCGAATGATTCCTAGTTAAAAAGCACTACATAATCCACAATGTGTTCATTTAGACTGAACGGAACAGTGCAAGGTCAGTGAAACACACACGACGAGACGAAACAGTGAGGCAGAAGCGAAGAATTCACTGAATCAAATGCGCGTGCTGATATGACTCACATCGCTCAATAAAAACCACAAAACATATTAAACAGAGAATCGCTGGAAAAACAAACAGTGTCATTCAGAACTAAACAGAAATGGATGTGTTTAAAGTGAAATCGACATGCGACACCCCTGTGTCAAGTCAGGAACAGGTTGTGTAATGATGACGCGCTACCGCAGACACCACACAGTATTAGTCATTAATTCGCCTATAAAGTTGTTTTTTTACTTTCATGCTGAATAATTCACTTCTGAGGTGTGGTCTTCTGACTAACTACTTGCACACCTGTGTGAGCAGGTCTATTAACCAGAAAATGTGGTTGAATTGGGAAATAGGTTTGGTTAGCACTCATCGAATTGGAAGTTCGAGAAACGTCGAGTATTCCAGAAAAACCACATCAACGAATCGTAAAATATGACCATATGGACAGAAAAGCGCGACGAGAAATCAATAGGTTCAAGCGTGAGGAACTTCATATGTACGCCAGAATGCGCGCAACAACACTTTCGCCACATTGTCAAGAACCCTGCTCATTCCTAGCTCTGAAATGCAGAACAGGAGAATGGGACAGTCTAGGAAAAAGATTAGATGTTAACCGATCACTAGAAGTTTCTCCTAACAAAGCCCATCAGGTAGGATCATCAATCGATACACATGAACTCTGTTTCCCGTGCTTGGATGAGTCGCAAACGCGGACTCAGCGATGCGTACGTGTCATTTGATAATCAGTGACATCAAGCATTTGTGGTATCGAACTTTCACGGCCGTTGTCATGTGTGACTGTGCGGAATAGCAGTAGAACACGTGATTATGGCTTCGAAAAATTGACACAAACATTGTTCTTTTCACTCGGTGGAAGGTGGGGGTGCAGGAATTCGTACAGGACGACTACAGGCGCACAAAGTCTGAGCGTAGTCTACACGATGGCCCTTCTCTTCTGCGTTCAGAACAGAGTGCACATTGAACATTTTCATGTGAACTTTTCAGCGGTAACATTGTTCAATCGTAAAGATGACAGGTGAACTGCGGGCAGTTACCTGCTGGCTGCTGATTGGAGCAGGGAATCTATTCCAGTGATTCCAATACCTTTATTGAATATTTGGCTTCTAGCCATTGTTCATTATGCATCCTATGAACCTATTTATTCGAGTAAAGTGATCTGTCATATAATTGGAAACGAGCAATCACCACAGTATGTACATAGCACTAACGCAGTCACGATACCGTGGATGGTTATGCGCGTTTTCAATTTCAACACCAGTAACACCATAGCGGGACAGCCGTCCCAGCAGGTTCTGGCAATTCGCTTACGAAGAGGCTAAGAAAGGAGGACTCAGATAGGAGCCAGCAAAAGAAATGAGTAAGGTGCTGGTGGTGGGCAGGGACTGCATCGGTGGGCGGAGTTTGTCACGGAAGTTACAGATCGCTCCTGAGGCGGTCCAGGGACTGGAAAAGCGTATAGAAGCTGGTGAAAGAAAAGAGGACAGAAGTTAATGGTGAGCAGGGCATGGCCCTCGGTGGGCAGAGTTTGGCCCGAAGCTTATACATCGTTCCTGAACACGGAGACCGCAAAAAAGTGACCAGAGGCTAGCGAAGTAGAAGAGGACAAGGGACGATGTTGGGCGGGGCATGCAATGAGGTGGGCGGAGTTTGAAACAAACCCAATTCGTTCCAGTGAGTCCAGAGACTGGTTCGTGATCAGGACACTGAATAATCCTCATAGGCCAAGTTTTGAAGAATTTTCGAACCCTTCTCGGAGTTGTAGTAGTGCAATAGTGTCCCAATTTTTGCAGGGGGACGAAATCGCGGTATGCATGAAACCATTTCTTTTTTACATCCACCCAGGAAGTTCCCCCCCCCTGCAAAAATTTGCTGAAACGAACGTCAGAAACTACCACGAAAGAGCACCAAACATGAATTCAAATGGGCATGAAGGGAAGGCAACTACCTCGCATAGATTTTCATAACGTGCTCCAGTACAAAGTAGCGACGCGACCGCTTACAGTCCGGCAATTTGGACTTTCCGTTTACGTTCGTAGAATTGCGTCAGGTGAGGATTTACGAGACTTGCCACTTTTTTGAATTTCATTTTGCTGTCGAGAGTTGCCGAAAATCG